AATAGTGGAATAAAATTAATAATTTGTACAGATAAGTTAAAGTATGTACCCTTAGAACAACGCGACGGAATCTTTTATGAATTCCATAAATCCCCAATTGGAGGACATCGTGGCGTTTCAAAAACCTTTCACCGGATTAGACAAGAATATTATTGGGAAAATCTAAAAGACGATATACAAAGGCGAATCCAACAGTGTCTAGAATGTCAATTAAAGAAATTAACTCGTTTACAAACCAAACAACCTATGATAATAACTGATACATGTGCTACAGTGTTTGATAAAATTGCTATGGATATTGTAGGCCCTCTAAAAAGAACAATAAAAGGAAACGAATACATTTTAACCTTACAGGATCAATTAAGTAAATTTTGTCTAGCTGTCCCATTAGCAGATACCTTATCATCAACAATAGCGGATGCATTTCTTAAGAAATTCATTTGTGTTTTTGGATGTCCGAAAGCTGTGCTTACTGATCAAGGCAGAAATTTTTTGAGTTCGCTAATGACGCGTATTTCCAAGCGATTCAAAATAAAGAAATTAAAAACCACAGCATTCATGCCTCAGTCGAACGGTTCCCTAGAAAGATCTCATCACGTGTTAATTGAGTACTTAAAGCAATACACCGATCTTGACAACGATTGGGATGATTGGCTCGACCTAGCTATCCTAAACTACAATACCTGTGTACAAGAAAGTACCAAACATACGCCGTATGAAGTTGTATTTGGCCGCTTAGCTCGAATGCCCTCAAATAATCCCCTTCGTGAAAGCGATACGTTACCTACATATAAAGGATATATAATAGATTTAGTTGCGCGTTTATGTAGTATACGAAAATTAGCTTACGAAAATTTAGTTAGCTCTAAAGAAAAATCAAAAAAATATTACGATAGACATATAAATCCAAAAGACTTTAGTTTAGGTGATTACGTTTTCTTAAAATCCGGACCTAAACCAGGGAAATTCGGGGATCATTACTCAGGGCCTTATAAAATAGTTGGTATTCTTCCAAAACATAATGTAAAAATAGAGACTAAAAAGGGCACAAAAATAGTTCATTCAAATAGACTCCGAATTTCACATATAAACAAATCAACCAAAGAAAATAAGCCGAAATAGAAAAAGGGGTAGAGAGGAAAAATATAATATAATATAAAATAAAATGAGATAAATCATAAAACAAAATATATATATATTATGAAACAAACAAAAGATCAAAAGGAACATATAATGAAATATTTTCTGATTACAGAACCGAAAACATGATGCATTCTTCTCTGTTATCACTGATATTTTTAACAATAACTAATCCAGTTACAGCCATCATAGGATACGACTGCGGAGCAAGATCTCTTAATATAACCACTATATCTTTATTAAGTGTGGAAGAATGTGAAATGCCTTCTACAAAAATAAACGCAACAAGAAAGTACATTCAATTGTTACAGTTAAATAACTATGAAACTGCTCAAGTGATTCAATGTAAAGTCCAAGTAGACCGAACTGTTTATTATTGTGGAATGCATTCACATAATTCCATAATAGAGAATGGCGCAATAGAATATTTAATGGATGTAAGCCAACAAACGTGTTATGATTTACACAAAAGCGGTACATTTTATTTTGACAATTCACATGTATTTCGAGATATTAAAGTTAATCAAACCACGGTTAGACCCGCTATACTTGCAGGAAGTGTAGATCATAATGGAGAATGTACCTATGGTAGTTATTCCGATGCTTATGGAAGCTGGAATTCCGTAGTTGTCCAAGCTAAAATAAAAGTAACTTTACAAGAATATACCGCTTCTGTCGATTTAGATAATAACCAAATAATATTACGTAGTGGCGTTAGATGTATTTTAGGTAGTGAACATTGTGTAGATTCTGAAGGAGGATACACTTTTTGGGAAAGTGTACCTAAAGATGTATGCAAATTTAATCGGTATCAAATATTGTATGAAGGAACAGCTAATCAAATTGAAGGTGAAATAGAACAAACATTATACTCGTTAGTAACACAAGACATTGCTTTTGCGTTAATATCCAAATCTAAACGTAATCTATGTGGTTACGAAATTATAGTTACTGAACACCCAAAATTATTTGTTTATATTGTCGAAAATAATGCATTTTTTCTAAGTAAGAAAATATCAATGAACAACCTAGATATATTTGCGTATGTAAATTCTAAATTTGTATATGTAGAACGTCACATAAAAGTACAATTAAGTCGTATGTACAAGGATGTTGCCGTACATCGCTGTAAGCAAGAAAGAGAAATTATGAAAAATGCACTTGCAATTGCTAGTCAATCTCCCGATCAGTTTGCCTATAATCTCATGAAAGGACCCGGATACATGGCTGTGACAGCAGGAGAGGTAGTACACATCGTTAAGTGTATACCCGTTGATGTGAAGGTATCGCAAGGAGACGAATGTTATGCTGAACTAAAAGTAATCCATAACAACCATACCAAATTTTTATCTCCAAAAACACATATTTTGAAGGCTTATGGGACAGTAGTTGATTGTAATGCTCTCCTACCCACATTTTTTTACTTTAATGATGACTGGTATAAGTTTTTACCAAGAGCAGTAGAAGCAAAAACTCCCACCACTCTTAAGCCTTTTTCTGGATTAACTTGGAAGTACCAGAATATTCCCTCACTAGCCACCAGCGGAATATATACAGAAAAGGATCTACAAGATTTAATGAACAGAATCCTGTTCCCCTTGGAGCAACCTGCAGTAATAAATGATGTAACCAGAGAAATTCGTGGACACACCATAAGAGACAGTAATGGAATAATTGGAAGGTTAATGAACGAGAATGTAATGGAACAGTTAATAGTCAATACCTGGAGCAAAATGTGGATGAAATTTATGACCTTTGGTACTTTCAGTGCCGGTATACTTGCAATTATACTAATTGTCCAAACTACAAAAAAATTAATAGAAGTCCTCATCAATGGAATAACTCTACATAGCATTTATGGATGGTCTTTTCATTTGATTGGGGCCATATGGAACAGTTTAACTACGTTTCTGATACATTTAGCACCAAAACCCACAGAAGCGAAAAGGGATGTAGAATCACCAGCAAATATTGCCACCGCTCCTGGACAGGAGTTATATCCGACTCTACATACAACAGAAAATGAAATAACACAACACAACCAGAGTAATTCGATTCCAGCATCACAATCTCAAGCAGTTAAACCATCGTTTGGGTTCCTCCCATGTTAGGGTAAGATCTTCGAGATTAATAAAATAATAAAAATAATAATAAAACCTTGATTACAGCATGATACGACAAGATCTTTATAATTAGAATAAAAATTTCGATTGCTCTTCCTCGTTGCACTCCTCTAGCAATCGTTTAAGTGTGGGGGTGTGACGGCTAGCCGTAACTTAGTTTTTTTATATTTAATTATTAAATATGACGAACGGAGTGGGAACCTTCCTGATTTCCCACGATGAAAACGCATTCGAAATATAAACTTTGATAGTGGCCCGAGCCTGCGTACTCAAGCTTACAATCAACGCTCTATCCTGCTTTGTCCCACACGTATGTGTTGACAGGGGCCTACGATCATCGCGTATACATCGTGAAGTGTTATCACACGCCGATAATGGAAGGGGACCATAAAAATGCAATCTATCTTTTTTTTCCCACCGATTTTTAAGAAAATATCCGTAATATTAAATAGATTTTCATCAATTTTGTAAGCCATTATAATGCGCACCTTTTTGTCACAGAATAACCAATAAAATAGAACAATAATGTATTTTATAATAAATCGTAAAAGGTTTGAATTTTTCTGAATGTTCATAATAGTCACTATGTTTCGTCATAATTAATTAAGTTTAGTACAATTATGTATAAGTAATTATAAGCTATAGCGTTACTCTTGCTCTTAAAAGTGGCACTCCGAGAGCCATCTCTGGAGAAAAGGGCCCAAGTTAAAAAGGGACCGCCCTTTCTCTCTCTGAAAATTCACGCCCACAGACCAATAAAGAAATTTTGGATATGATTAGAAAATTTCCGACCAATACAAAATTTAGCCGTTATCGCTTCATGGGCCTGAGGAAAGGGATTTCCACCCAACCACCCACGGCTTATAAAAAGCTCTGTACAAGGCTGGAGAGGAAGTTAAGTTCAGTTCAGTCAGTTAAGTTAGAGGAAGTCAAGTTCAGATAGAGTAAGTGCGGAGTGAGCACCAAGAAGTCCGTAATAAGAAGTTTTTACCAGTGAGCGAGTCCCGGAGCAAGCATCAAATCACCCAAGTATATTCAGAGCATATAGAGAGAGAAAGAGGCCAAAGAGCAGAGAGAGAACGCAACATTAATAATAACTAAATTGATAAAATAAAAGTAAGTAAAATCTTAAACCTGGCTATCCTTTTCTTTCTTTAAGTAATCCGCCTTTCTTTTGGAAATTCATTAAGCGTGAGTCTGGTGAATTTCCATTAAAGTCCCTTAAGAACACATTAAGCGTGAGTCTGGTGTGTTCGTAATAACATTTGGTTATTACATTCCCCGTTAGCATACAGTTTTCTCAACGCAACAATATTGCTCGTCCCGGCTTGTGTGTTACACGATAGCCAAATCAGAGCAACCCTGAGTTTACGCTTGCTCCAAGCGTACCTGAGAGTGACCCCGACGTCACACTTTCAACATTGAGTTCCTGTGACAAAATAACCATACTCTTCAAAATCATTTGCAATATTTTTGTAAAATATGTCATCGAATGTATTTTTATGATATTTTGAGACGTTCTCAAAAACAGTAAGAAGAAGTTTCGTTTGTGGGTCTGTCCAACGCGAAATCACTTTCAAGTCTAACAATATATAGATATACGTCATACATTAGTTCAATGGAAATTTACACAATTTAAATAAAGCAATTATAAACAGTATATGTGCGTGCGTGCGTGCGTGCGCGTGTACAATTTAATAGAATTCACTAGCATCATTTGTAACTTGTTTCTCTAATTTGTTATCTGTGATAGTATCAGAACAAGAAGACTGCTTTTTCATTGTTTTCTGATTTGTCTCGTCCGGTAATGGATTATAATTCAATTTCCTATCAGTTTTAAATTTATTCAATAGATCAATTGTATAGGAAGGATCTGAAAAAGATGTATATTTAAATATATTAAAATAATTTTAGGTTTACAAAACATAGTATAAAATACCTTTGATAGTAGCAGCATGTTGTTCTCGGGTAAGCCACATACTGTATGTTTTATATTTTGTTTAGAATCTTGGATACTGAATTCTATAAATTCATTTTCATTGTCTACATTAGAACTTTCTATTAACAGAAAAATAATGTTCATTAAAAAAAATAAATTACGTAATATTTTTAATTTATATAGAATAAAATAGTTTGTAATTGAAAAATACATTACCTGATGGATCAATCTTTTTGTCAATTGATTTTGAATTAATAACATCAGGTGAAGTACTTGCAGATTTTTGCTGTTCCAAAAGCAGATTTGTTTTTAATACTCTATCTTTTTTTATTCTCTCAAATATCTGCATTGCAAAATTATCATCTACAATATTTTTATGGTTGAACAGATATGTACATATTTTTTAAAATAAAAATATCTTATTCAATATTTACCATACCTGTCATGGCTTTCTCATACATCTTTGGGCTCACCGTAACTTCATACTTTAAGTTTGCTTCAAAGTCATGTAAAATTAATACTTTTATTGTTGCTCTCTCAGATGATAAAATATTAACTGAATTTGAGGAATTTTCATTATTTTCCTGTTGTTCGTACTGACTCCCTTGTGTTTGTGACTTAATCATATTGGTAATCTCTTGAAAATAAGACCCACCTGCAAAATTTTTATGATTAAGTAATTACGCTTATTTACAATTCATAATTTGTATGTGCTGTATAGTATATTTAAGTTTAATAAAAGTAAATCATAAAAAAGCTCAGTAAATACTTATGCGATAAATTTCTTACATCTTGAAGTTTTCTTCAGTGGCTAAAATCTTATACGATTTCTGATTTGTATTATCATATAATGTCAATGTCCTCTGAGAAGTTTTTGATTTATTCTTTCTACTTTGAGAAGTTTCACCGCTCAACTCAGTCTTTCTAACTGTAAATAAATATATGTATAAATGATACTTTTTTAACAATTTGGTACGTGTTGTAAAGATATACAATTAATTTACTGTTTTACAGGATAAACTTTTTCATCCAGCACAGTTACATTTTCATAGCCAGAAAAACATTTATGTTCTGAGTTACACCATTCTTTTAGTGTATTTATGGTGTGACACCATCCACTTTGTATTACCTGAAACATTTTAATATTGAAATTATTATTGATTGTACAATTAACATTATATTTAATAGAAAAAAAGATATACTTTAACACAACCATCAAATTGAAAGCTATTCATGTTGTTTTTGTAATCAAATAGGTTACATTGAACTCAAAATCAGTCTTGGGTAAAAAGTCACTCAATTTTAATTCACTGATAAATTTATAAATCAGTTTTTACACTAACTAATAACTTATGCTTATAACATAAAAGCCATCAAAAGGTAGAGGAAACAAACAAAAGAAGAAACAAAAATCGGAATCTTGCAGGTTGACGCATGCTCGCATTGAAAATAAACCCGCGTGATCGTACTTTTACCACGTGATCAGAAAGCGACGTTGCCATAAATGATTTTGCTATCCTTTGCGGAACTCACTCTGAGGTTTAACTGCCTATTTTCAAAACCTCGCGCGCCCTCTCTCCCTCTTAGATGTGTGGCGTTCCGCACGAGGTCGGTGCTGACACCACTCGGGAGACAACGACGGCAAGAGGCGAGCCAACTTCCCGCTTGAGCACTGATGCTCGCTAGCGACCTTTGACGTCACCTTCTGCGGCAAGAGGGGGTAGCTCCGATTCGTTCCATGAAAAGCGGAACCGTCTCTCTTGCACGCTCTTTCTCGCCTGCTGGGCGCTACCGACTCCGGAGCGTTATCCGACCATCGCGCTCGGAAAATTTAGCCACGTGGTGTTACGTAATTGTGTACACGCGCTCACTTCTTTTCCTCTCGCCACCGAGTTACTTCTTCTGTTAAGGATTAATAAAGTTTGTCAAGTTCATTTTAGCACTGCATTTTATTTATCTCCCGCATTCTCGTATTGGAACGTTTGACCGTCCCGCGCAAGGGACCGCCTCGGTCGTCGTCTCCAAAGTCGTTCTAACTAACATCGCGAGTAAACGATTCGCGAACGGATCGATTAATCGAATCGACTACCGTTGCAGTTTTTTTTTATTATTTATTGTTTTTTTAAGTTTTTTTTTGTGTTTTTATTTTTTTGCCTTATTCAAATATATAAATTTTCGCTTTCTAAATCAGTACTTGTGTTGCTGTCGGATTCACTGTTGGAGTCATTTGATTCAATTATTTGTTCAGTATCATCTTCAGCTGAAGAGACTTTATCTTCATGTGTATCTGATTCATAAAGAAGATGATCTTAGGAACCATCTAGAGCAGTACTGATACCTTATTTCAAAAACGATTTTTTAACCATTTTCGCATCGATTTTGGCCCATGATTCTTTGACCCATTCACAAACTTGAGTGATAGTGGATCGTTGAAGAGCTCCTAACGGAGTGAACATATGCACATTTGAGTTGTCACGTCGATACAAAAGAAGAAGTACGTGACGAATTATGATAAGTAAATATCGGATTATGGTAACAAACCGGCTATCGGTAATTTAATTTTCTATCGTATCAACCCTCCCGGGAACATTTGTAAATCTATCTAGCAGGATAGATTAGCCTAAGCACGTTCTCCATAATATTTCCGCGAATATATTACTCACCGCATATTTATTCGGCGAAAACACAGAAAGAGGCACATCAGCCTATGATATAAAAGGCTGGATCGGGATCCGCAACGCCAGTTCAGAGCAGTTCATTTCGCACAGTATACGTTTCGCGCAGTACTAATTGAGTTATTTTTAAGTCTCGGTATTCGGCTACTCAGAACCGGGATTATACTCTGCTAAGCATTATAAACTTGTCTTTAAATAATAAATCTCAAATCAAGCGCAAACACCTGAGACTGTTTTTAAAAAACCTCTTCTGAAATCCAATCCTAACAAGGTAGGAAATTAAGTTATCTACCTAAACTCGCTACATATAAAAAAGGCACTATCCCTTTAACCAACCTCTGCTTAACTCCTGACTAAGAGCCAACTTTTACCAACGCGACAGTATTTTATACATTATTACGTCTAGCAGTAACATCTTCTCGCCTAGACATAACAGAGTCCATCATCCAGTCGTTCCACTTTTCTCTCATAAAAACTTTAAACGGTTTATTCAATGAATCATCGAGTGGTTGAATTTTGATGTAATTTGTAGAATTGTGTAGAATTTTGATGAAATTTTTGTCTTACAGCATCTAACAAACGAGACCAAAATTGATCAAGAACCAGAAGTGCTATTTTTTTCAAAAAGCCGTCTTGTCTTCTACACCAAACTTTATTAATCCAAATTTTCATCCCACCTTCATCCATCCATCCTTTTAGGTGTACATTGCAACGATCTCCGAGAATCGTTTTGACTGGCGTAGGTTACGAAGCGGCTGAGCGTAGCAGCCGCGATCGGTTTGAGAGAGAGTGGGCGCGTGGGGGCAATGACCGGGAGGGGAGGGTTTGCTAGCCAGTATAACTGTGACCTTCGATCCGACTACATCTTAGCAATTGTGTTTGAGCTGCCAACGTACGTAATAGTTCGGGTGCGATCCAGGGAGTTTGAGGATATTCTTCGAGGGTGCTGAAGTGAAGGTGCACACTGTTCAACGTGTGCATCGGCAACTAACGATAACTATCAGTGTGGTGAAACGGGTACACACTGCGCAGCGTGTGTAACATCGTCACTGAAAACAATAGCAGTAGGTGCAGTGCCGAGTGCGCGCATTGTGGAACGTGGGCGACCTCGGCACCGGCGTACCTAGCATCGTCAACTCCTGCAGCGACGCAACAACAACAGCAGAACTACAACAGCAGAGCGGCGATCTTAGAGGCAGTTGATCCGCAGCTAGTACATCGGATACGGTTGGCCACCGTATCCCCATCGATTCCGCGGTAGGTGTCTGCCCTTATTTGTCATAGCTAGCGTGCGATCCCGCGTGGCGTGCGCGCTAATATAATTATAAGCGTGCGAGCGAATAGTCCGCGTCTATCGCGAGTTTCCCTCTCTCTCCCCGATTATACTGTCAGTCGAATTTGCGTGCGTGAGTCTCTCGGCAAATCCCTCCCGTGTAAAAGATTCAAGTCAATAAAGTAGTCAGAGATTTAAACGTAACGATCATATTGTTTTGTCTTTCCTTTGTCCGGGAACCGTGTTATTGTTTACATTCAATTCGAACGCGCCGGTAGTAAGGCACGGATCGTGTAGGCAGCTTGAGAGGCGGCTCGCCAACCGAGTTATCAGCAGCGGCCGTCGGAGCGCTGCTAGGCAAGCGCGCCAGCGCCTCCAAGCGGAGAGTTCGAGAACCTAACTTTGATCGGTAAGAGAACTCTGCGCAGGCGCACTCCCGGACAAGGTGAGTTAATGTGCTTCTAGCACATAGATAACAAGGCGTCGTTTAGCCAATCAAGTAGGTACATTCAAGAGGAATTACAGGTTAAACGGCAGCCTGTTACAACATGCACTATTACACCTGTCGGTATTTAACCTTAGGCATAATTTTACGTTTAAACATGATCATTGGAAGTAGCTTTACACCATTAGCATAACAAGCAAGAACCACGGTGTAGTGGGATTTTTCATGACCTTATCGTAATCTTTTTTTGTCCTTTTTTTGAAACACTTCTATTTGACGGAACATCGAAGGTCATAGGTATTTTGTCCATATTTGCTATCTGTCCGATTTCAAAATTTATTGCTTGTCTACGGTGAATTATATACCGGTGAAAAGAGAGAATTTTGTCTTCGTACTCTTTTGGCATTTTTTGACAAATTTTTGTTTTTACTCGCATAGCTAAACCATTGCGTTTCATAAAGTGGTGACACCATGACGGATCTCCTTTAAAATCATTTATTTGACTTCTTAAAGCTACTTTTTATGCATGTATGCGTATCATTTTTGTTGAAACAGCTAAGCCTTTGGAACGATTATCTTCAAATCCATTGTTTAACTTCATCCTCTAAAATAGGCCACTTTACTTTTTTACCACGTTGCGCATGCTTTGATTTATGCATTTTTATCAGATTATTCTTCTGAGAACGTCAAAGCCTTCTAGTTTTGCCATCAGTGGTGGGCCGAAATGACGTTCGGCAGTTCTTTTGCCATGTTCTTCAGCAAATTTGATCACCTTCAATTTATAGCCCGCTGTGTACGATTTTCGTTTATTAGCTTCGCTCATATTGGAATTCAAGTCAGTTTCTTACTTCAAAAAACCCTTTCAAAATTATATTAAATAAACGATGCAACAAAAATACAGTTTTTATAAAAAATCTCGTATTAATTATCTAGTATATTATGCGACGTTTTTTGATCCCAAGTGGCATATAGGTACTAGGTATTTTTTATTATCCTCAGACATAAAGTACGTTTACTATATATTATGAAAATAATAAAAAACTTACCTATTAAATAAGTAATTACTCTTTGTCATCTGCTAATTTTGAAAGATATTCATAGGTAGTGAGGGTTGCTTAATTGTTACTATTCAGGCGCACGTTTTATTTAGGTTAGAGGGTTTGAGGTATCTTACATTCGGTGTATAAGACGTAGGCTGATTTTGGAGTCAACTTTGGCGGTAAAAAGGTGCGTCTTATACACCGGAAAATACGGTATATATACCTACATTTTTAGTGAGTATTCAATTTCTTAAAATTTTTTCTTAAAATTTCATTTATTAAAAAATATTTAATAAATGAAATTTTTATAGGAGTATTATAGAGAAATGGTATAATGCCAGAAAATTTTTTAAATCATACCATACGTAATCATTTGTATAATTGTATAAATATTTATGTAAAAGGATTACGAAAGAAGTAATGGCTTCAAAAATTTATTTCTAAAAAGTAAGTTTGAATAATTAATAGATTAACATAATAATAATAATCTAAATTTGACTTTAAGTATTTTTTCAATTATAGAAAAATTTTCGATTTTGAAACTGAAATGAGGTGACCGCGATTAGAAAACTTAAGTCTTAAATTTAAATCATTGTGCTACACAATAGAACCTGA